GGGGGGGGCTGGCCGGCTGGGCCGGGCCAGGGGAGGGGGCTGGGGCAGGTGTGAGGGGGGCCAGGTGGGGAGGGGCTGGTCCAGTTGGGCCAGTGGGGTTTCCTCCCCCACACCCTTTTGTTTTATTTTTACTTTTTATTTACATTACCTTTTCTATTTTATTTTAGTTGCAGTTTATTTTTTTGTTTTAGTAAATACCAAAGTGGCACCTAAATTGTTCTTACAAATTAAGCCACAACCACAAAATGCTTCATCCCTAAATAATATAGTTTAATATTTTACAAAACACAAAAGGCATTTAATTAATTTCTTTTTCTGCTGTTTTATTTTCCTTTGAGCATTTAAACATTTTATAAAAATGTGGTTTCTCCACCATAATTATCTATGCAATATTTGGTTCACTCCGAACATTTTAGTTTTAATATTTGAAAACTTTTATTGTTTGCCTAATTTTGAATTTGAATTTGAATCGGTTTCGAACTAACTCGAGATTAGCAACTATAAACGGGGTGACGTGGCACCATTAGCAGAGGATCGCTGTAGCTTAATTCCCCGGGCGTCACAACAGACGAGGAGACAACAAGGCAGCATGGTGCGCCCAGGGGGTAGGCGCGCCGTGCCCCCTTGCGGACCCCTCGTGGCTCCATCTGACCTAATTCCAGCGCTATAAATTCCCAGATATTGCAAAGTACCTAGAGCGAGACCCTAAAAAATTCCGCTGCCGCAAAGCTCTGTTCTTCCGCGATCTCATCTAGAGGCCTTTTCCAGTACTCTGCTGACGGGGAAATCGATCACGGAGGCCATCTTCATCAACCTTGCTATCTCCATGATGATGTGTGAGTAGTTCCCCACAAGACCTAAGGGTCCATAAAAGTAGCTAGATCTCTCTCTCTCTCTCTCTCTCTCTCTCTCTCTCTCTCTTTGATCTTCAATACAATGTTCTCTTCAAAGATCAATTTGATGTAATCTTTTGTGGTGCGTTTGTTGGGATCAGATGAATTGTGGGTTTATGATTAGATTTTTCATTGAAAGTAACTGAGTTTATTCTGAACTTTCTTATGTTGATTGTTTTAGCTTTGTATTTCTCTCTGATCTATCTGTTTAGTTTGGCCATCTAGATTGATTTATCTTCAGGGGGTGGTGCTTTGTGGTAGGTTCAATCTTGCGGCGTCCTCACCTCGTGACAGAAGGGGTAGCAAGGCACATATTTGTATTGTTGGTACTAAGGGTGAAACGATGGGGTTCGATCATATTGATTGGTCTTACTTTGTCTATATTGTGTCATCATGCTTAAATCGTTATGAACTTAATACCTAGAGAGGCAAGCACAAAAGCGCCCTCGAAGTGGAGTAATAATAGTAGATGCAGAATCATTTCAGTCTACTTGTCACGGATGTAATGCCTATGTACTGATCATGCTATGAATACCATCATAACTATGCGTTCTTTTAATCAATTGCCCAATACTAACTATTGTACCCACCGTTGCTATGTTCTTGAGAGACATGCCTCTAGTGAAAGCTATGGCCCCCGGGTCCATCCACATCATATTGCTAAAACCCTAAAAACCTTGCTGCAATTTATTTACTTTTAGTTACTTTTGCAATTTATCTATCTACCACTATCAGAATTAATCCTTACAATTAACAAGTACAAGGGGATTGACAACCCTCTTG